TTTTTTATTGTTTTTATATTTTTCAATATATTTATTTTGTTTGTACAAAATAAAAAAATAATTTTTAACGATACAATAGTCTTCGTTAGGCTTAACATCGACGAAAATTCAACGCGAAGCGACACGCAACGGAGAAAAATTTCAACACGGGATAAATTAATATATTTTTTCGTACATGATTCGTTATCCGAAAAATAAGTTATCCGAACCTCCCCAGTCCCCAATTGATTCGGATAAACGACGCTCTACTGTAATTAATAAACAACGATATGCGTTTTTTGCATACTTTTCGATTTACATGTTATTCTCAGGAACCTATCTACCGTGTAAATCGAGGGTAGGTGTATTTATTCAAACGACTTAATCACCGCGAGTTTATACAAACTTTACAATTGCTCTTTGGATTCTTTTGTCATTACCGGTATCTGTAACATCTGTGGAACGGTTGTTTTCTACACTTAAAATTATTAAAAACTGCGTTTCACAATGGTACAAGACAGACTCAAATCTTGTCATTATATCAATAGAGTCAGATATTTTGCATCAACTTGATATACAGTCGATCCCCATATAACACTGTTGATTATTCCGTTTTATATCAATTCCATGTTATACGAGTCACTTAGATTTTACAAATACATAAACCGTTCACAGCCCGGCACAGGTATTTGTAAAATCTAAGTGACTCGTACTACACGGAATTTATATAAAACGGAATTATCAACAGTGTTATAATGGGGTCGACTGTACATGATATTATTCGAGAATTTTTATTAATGAAAACTAGAAAAGCTCAAGTAGTTCCACGTTCAATTAGTCATTACTCGCTCATTATGGCCTACAGAATTAAATGATTTGGATGACTGCATTACGATGTCAAACACTACCGTTTTGTCAAAATCGATCAAAATGGACGCGGAACATAGGTGTGGCCTCAGGGCGAAAAAGTGTCAAAACTCTGAAAAAAAAGACCTGTATGAAATCGGTCAACATATGAAGAATTGGAAATTATACTCTCGATTTATAATACGCCGAAAAGTATTCCTTTAATAATCTGTGATTCTCAAATTGATCCATCTTCCTAAAAGTGAAACCATTTCCAAGTTTCTATCTTCTAAATTGGCTGTGTTCAAACTTTTTGATTGGCAGGCCAAATTGCGCATAACTCATCTTAGGTAAGTAGATCACAAATATAAAATATTTGTGACTTACCTACCTATAAAAGCGGATGTATGACGTATATTCCATATATGTACTAAAAGTATGTGTAATTCTATCACTTATAAGTAATGTATCAAATATGTTTCGCGGACGGATTAGCGTATGCCGCGGGCCTTAGTTCGGGCACTACTGTTCCGAAAGAAACATAAAAGCCAGAAGCGACAAAATAAAACAGATAAATAATGAAAAAAACAGCAAAAAGCCATTGTTAAAATCATTTTAAATGAATTATTTTGAATGTTTTAATGGAACTTATCACCCTATTACCGATCACATAAAAGTTAATACAGTATTTATTTTATAAATACGTTACATTAATAAAAAAAAATTTTTTTTTAATTTATAATAATAAAAATAATAATTTTTAAATGGGGATTTCATACTTATTTGAAATAATTTTCGACTAATATTATCGTAAACGAATAAATAAATAAAATAAAATAAACAAACAAACAGTTAGGGAGTGCTGTACGAAAATAACCAAGGTCGGCCATGTTATGATTGAAATATTATACTGATGCTATATTAGATTTAGATAAGCTATAATGGGATAATATATTTTACAGGTTTATTTTACTAGGTCTACAATGTACGTAGACTAAATTTTAAATCCGGATTGTTCATTATGCAAACGAACGAGTCGATACGAATATTTAAAAATAGTTGTCGTGGATGTCGTAATATTTGGTAAGTGTTATGCGAGAGAATATATTTAATTTTAAAGGCTGTAAGTAATATATATATTTAAGGTAAGAAGGTATTATGATTTATACGTAAACAGTGTTTCGAGGTATTGCAGTTGCATCAATTGCTTTGATTTTTAATGACATTTCCGTTTCAAGTCTACTGTGACATTGGACTGTTTCCTCTGAATTTTATTATAAATTCGTATTATATATTGAGAATTGAAAGATACTTCTTGCTGATGACAGTGTTATTTAAACCGAAAGGGGTTTTTATATTCAATATGAATTTTAATTATTAAAATTGGAAGTTTTAGAAATTATAACAGGTAAATCTATCATGATTTTTCAACTAATAAAAATAAATTGCACTGAAATAGTTTATCAGTGTAATAATAAATAAGTAAAACTGTAAAGATACAATTGTTTTTTTNGATTCTACTGCATATGGTTTGTAAAATCACATCAATAGAATTCAAAATATATTATGAGGATTATTCAAATACTGTATTTAAATAACAGATAAAACTGTGTAAAATTGATTAAGAAATCAAAAACATGATGCTTTTGATTTCTTAATCACTGATATCTGTGTATTGGATTATGAAAAATTGAATTAAAATATTTTTTTAAAATTATGTTCTGGACATGTGAAATTGTTAAAATTTTGAAAAAAAATGTTCTAATAATGTGAAAAGTTTAACAGCACCCCCTTGGGTCAGATCTGACACCATCTGTGACTTTTGGTCCACAGGAACCTTTCGAATAATGTGTGGCCATGTATGTGGGAAATTAGGGTAAGGGACGGAAGAGGAAGTTGAGAGACAGAGAACTTGGAAATAATGCACTCTACAATGTAATTAACAATTCAACAAACATTTATTTTCCAAATTAATATTAAAACAAATGGAGTGAGTTAAATGTGTGTCTGTCTTTGAGAGAGGCATTTTACAGTTTCATGCATGATGATAAATACCTTTGAAGTCTGGCGATCACTGGCTGACTTGGGTTTCCTGGAGAGTTGGAGGAGAGTCTTTCACTGCTACTGAGAATCTTGAGTCTAGGTAATAATCTGTGATATTAATATCCAGAATTGGTCATAACTGGTTCAAGTCAAATTGTTCTTTAATCTGGAGTGGCTAAGGTCTAGTGGAAATGACAGGAACCTGAGAAGATTAAGTAGAAAGAATAGTAAACTTCTGAATTCTAAAAAATGTTTATTCTGATTAAAATTAACTTTTTATCTTCTAGTAGATGTTCAAACATTTAATAATAATTGATTTATTCAACATTAATCATTCTATGCTATACTTTTAAATAAGTCAGTCTTTAATATTACTAAAATGTTTTTGAGATGAATCTTTCATTGTCAGATCAAATTGACTCCATTTCAAACTATTATCAATATTTTCCATATCAGACAATTGTAGAATGATATTTAAACTGAGTGTGTCAAAGATTTAATTTATTCAATATAATAGGGTAATGGCACCAGTAGTTGACTGTTTAAAGCTGTTTTGACTTTGATATTTTTTGTTATGATGTGTTGTAATAAAAATGTAAAATTCATATATGAAAATAAAGTTTGTTCTATAGTTGTCATGGGAAAGAAAAAAAAATTTCTCATTAAACTTTTGTTTACATTATGAAAAAAAAATTCATGGACTGTTCACCCAATCGTCGACTAGCAGGCTGCACAATTGTTTATGGTTGTTGACAACTGGATTTTCTGTCATCAAGAGCCTGACAAATATGACAACTGAAAGGATAAGCAAGCTCAATAATAGGTATTTTGTAGAAAATATGCAACTGAAACACAGAGCTCGCATTATCTTCTAAAGTAGGGATGGGCAACCCTCAGCCCCCGGGCCACATGTGATCCACATTAATATTTTTTGCGGCCCACGTCACATAAAATATGAATAAATATATCAATTTCCCAGCTTAAGGAAGAATGCAGCAAAAATTCAAACGTTATTTCTACAATTTATGTATGTGAATAGCTTTTCCGCAATGAATTTAGTAAAAATTTAAACAAAAAACCAGCTAACAGACACATCAAAAGTAATTTAAAACTAGTAATGACTAATATTTAACCAAACATTTCCAATATATTACATTTACATCAGTTTCAGAAGCTAAATTAAGCATACATATGCTAATTTATAATTATATATGAATAAATAATTGTGGTTTACTGGCATTTTTTTTTTTTTTTCTCTTTTCTTTTGTATGTGGTCTGCGTCATTTCAAAAGTTTTAAAATGCGGCCCTTACATAGAAAAAGATTGCCCATCCCTGTTCTAAAGACCTGACAATAACTCACTATGTGGTTAACTATCAGAAGGGATGTTGCACAATAATTCTTCCCATCATTGTGAGACAACCAGTTGTTTGTACATGTCATTGAGAAGGGAATCGTCTCATGATGCTTCATGTGAAGATAGTTTCAATGAACTAATTACACATGGCTTACATATTCAACTACTGGAAGTAGTCGGCAATAGGAGTCCCAGCCCTGTTTATCAATGATTTCTTCAAATTTTTGAATTGTTAATATCTGATTGAAGGTGAAATTTTAATGTTTATTTAAAGAACTAATATTTAAATAATATAAATATACTTAAAATTCATTACTTATCACACCGAAATTACTAAAAAATTTACACACCTGAACCATTTACGGTGTGATCATGCAAAACAGGTGAGAAGTATTTGCAAAACAAGAAAACCTTCCAAGAACAACATTGGTGGGAATTATGAAGAAAAAAGAGGAAATTAAGAAACTTGGGTCTGTCATGACTATCTCAATAATGCCAGAGAAAGTTATTGTACAAAGATGTGGAAGATGGTCTGGTATGTTGGCTAAAGCAAATTTGTTCATCGAATGTTCCTGTTTTGGGGCTGATACTGAAAAAAAAAGTGATGAAATTGTTGAGGTACAGTACTTGGAGTAGAAACCAACTTTAGTGCCAGTGATGGATGGTCAGAGACTATATAAAGCACTATTGCATGTACTGTATAAAGCACTACTGTATTTTCTTAATTGTAGTTTTGTGATTTTTTTCAACTTTTTTTTAGTCGTCATATCAGATAACTCGACACATTTCTACTTCTCCTTAGGATGTCGACTTATGCAGACTTGACTGGACTATTATTATTATTTTGGAAAACATGACCATATTTTTGTTTTAAAATGTATTTCAATGTTAATATTTTTTTATTATATAATAAACTAAGAAAAAATATGAAAAACTAATAGGAAATAATGTTTATAATGATAACTTTGATGAAATAATGATATAACTTTTATTTAGCTGTTTAATTGAGACAATTCAGAAAAAGTTTATAAATATAGTTTGCAAATTTTTTTATGTGGAGAATATGAGTGAATATTTCTTTTTAATTTGAGCCTAAATAAAATTTCACCCATTAAATATAAATATAAGTGTTTAAAAGAGTTTTAAATAAAAACAGAATTTCTTTTCTAGTTCTTTTTACAGCTCTGTGGAGTTTTTTTTTCCAGCTATTGCTGTAATTTTATTACACCACAAATTTCCTCAGGACTGCTTTAATTCCCTCTGAACCTTGTTTACATAACTGGACATATTCTGCACCTCTGACTAATCATCGTTTTATTTACTTATCTCACTTAAATGTTATCAGTTAATTATTAACATCGATATAGATGAGTCCCAAACCGATTTACAATAAGCAGATTCTACTGCATATGGTTTGTAAAATCACATCAATAGAATTCAAAATATATTATGAGGATTATTCAAATACTGTATTTAAATAACAGATAAAACTGTGTAAAATTGATTAAGAAATCAAAAACATGATGCTTTTGATTTCTTAATCACTGATATCTGTGTATTGGATTATGAAAAATTGAATTAAAATATTTTTTTAAAATTATGTTCTGGACATGTGAAATTGTTAAAATTTTGAAAAAAAATGTTCTAATAATGTGAAAAGTTTAACAGCACCCCCTTGGGTCAGATCTGACACCATCTGTGACTTTTGGTCCACAGGAACCTTTCGAATAATGTGTGGCCATGTATGTGGGAAATTAGGGTAAGGGACGGAAGAGGAAGTTGAGAGACAGAGAACTTGGAAATAATGCACTCTACAATGTAATTAACAATTCAACAAACATTTATTTTCCAAATTAATATTAAAACAAATGGAGTGAGTTAAATGTGTGTCTGTCTTTGAGAGAGGCATTTTACAGTTTCATGCATGATGATAAATACCTTTGAAGTCTGGCGATCACTGGCTGACTTGGGTTTCCTGGAGAGTTGGAGGAGAGTCTTTCACTGCTACTGAGAATCTTGAGTCTAGGTAATAATCTGTGATATTAATATCCAGAATTGGTCATAACTGGTTCAAGTCAAATTGTTCTTTAATCTGGAGTGGCTAAGGTCTAGTGGAAATGACAGGAACCTGAGAAGATTAGTGATGATGGAGTACTGCGACAGATAATCACACTGAAAAGGTGGACAGGCAAACCCTGTTACTTTTTCTTTTATTTGGGTCTCATCCCTCTCCAAAGACAGCCTGCACAAATTTGGTAAATTTGTGCAGGCTGCTAATCCAATCTACGATTTTTGGTGAAAGTTCCTTTGATGAGTAGATTTTTGCCCGATGATGTGTCATTTACGAAGGAAATGTTGTCAAAGAGAAAATCTCATGTACTTTCTCTGTGATATTTGTTGTCATGGGCTTAAATAGATTTTTTTTTCTCTTTGAACAAATATTAAATTCTCTAAATTACAAAAATGCTAGCCCAGGTCCTCACAATAATAAATGTTCTATTTTTACTGGATTTAAGGTTTTTAATATTAATTTTTTGTTTATTTATTGTAAAACAAAAACATTTTGTAAATGTTGAAACTTTTTTTAAGAAAGTTTCATGATAATGGTTTATTTTGCTGTAATTATGTAAGGAACCAACCTTTTTTATTTTACTCAATTATTTTTGAAAGCTTTATCTTCCTAATCTCAGCAATCTATACAAAACATTCTATATTGAATACTTAAAGTATTTTGTTTGAAAACTTTGCTCAACTATTTTTATTTTCTATTGTTCATTTATATTTTTGTTCTAAAAACAATTTTTAAAAATTACATTCTATCTTGATTTAATTTCTATATATCTAATATTGCATTCACATATGTTCTAATTTCATAAATAATTGTTTGTTTGTTGGTGTGATTGTGTAACATGGAGTTATTTCTTTATTTAGAAGAATTTTATGAGGACCTTAAACTGCCAATTTGATGATTTTTAGAAAGTGTTATATTTTACAACAAATGCAAGGGCAAATTGCAAAATGAGAGTAAATTTATTGTGCTCTAATATGTATTTTTAAAGAATACTATCAATATATAAAACAGTCCTTAAGTTTTATATTTGATTTTTAATGTTGACCAAGTAATGCATGACACTTAAAGAGAATTATAGAACTTTTAGAAGAATTTATTTTGACTTCTCATGACAGTACAAATGTTAAAAATGCTTAATAAAATTTTAATTATAATTATAGGTTTACATTTGTTTTATAAACACAATTGTAATAAAATAAAACTTTTTAATTATACAATAAAATATTTTCAATTTATTAAGTTTAATTTATTAATTAAGATTATATTTGACATAAAAATAGAGAGAATCAGATATTTTTTAATGAATCCAAAATTCAATATATATTTATTTAATAATTTACGAAATATTCAATGTTATCCAAGTTTATTATTAGCTACTAAAGTATCCAAGGTAGCTTCAATCCACATTATCTTAGATAATAGGAATCTACTGTACTCATTAATTTTGTTTTGATTTCTTTGAATAATTTTAGCAGATTCATTGTTGATAAATCTGTGAATCATAATATTGAATATTTCATAATTCAACAAGAAAGGTGTTTCATCTGTTTTTTAATGAGAATGTAAATTTGTCAATATCAATAAGTATTACCTTATGTTTTCTGTTGGAAATATATGCAGAATAACTGGTTAATATCAAGTAACTTGATTCTTCAACAATAATAATGTATTAATTCAATGCATCTTTTCCTATTGAAAATCTTTAGAATTGCAAGATATTTAATTGAATTTAGATTTAAATATTAAGTTAATAAATTTAGTTTTTATCATATATATTAATTTCAGGTAATTTTAATAATGAAGAATGGAAACTATATTGTCTGAATTTATTGCTCGTACTTCAGCTGAACCCGGATTAGCAAGAGACCTTTTAGAAGGTAAAAAATTAGTTATTAAAAATAAATTATTAATTACAAGTGTAATATTTTTATAGTACCACATTTATGTATAATAATTTATTATTTGATATTTATTAATATGGATTTACAACAGTTTGATACTTTTTACAAACATATGACTTCTGATAAAATCAATAGATTTTGAAATTGTTGAATTAAAAAATTTCAACTTTCTTTTATTGATAGTTATTTTACAAGCATACCTTGCTTTACAGCACTTTACTAATGTGGCACTTTTACTTTTAAGTTTGTCTTTTACTTTTAAGGGTTTTTTAAATTTATTTTTATTTAAATGCATCTGATGACTTACATGTGGCTCTTTCAAAAAAAGAGCTTCATTTTAATAGAATTATTATGAATAAACAACAACAGCCTAGCCATTAAAATTTAAATATTGCTTTTTATGTTATATAGTAATATATATTGTAAATAAACACTGCATTTGTTTATGCAATAAATGTTTTTTCTTAAATAAAAAATATACACACATTTTTTTAAGGGGGTGCAAGAGCTTATTTTCAGATTCAAGGGGGTGCTGACCATTAAAAAGGTTAAGAACCGCTGTTCTAGAGGATATAGCTATAAAACATGGTTACCAAAAACACCTTATCCGTAATTTAGCTAATGCCTATTTAACAGGGGTACTTGTTCTACACCCACTACAATATATCACAGATTGGGAACACTCACAACACACGCTGCATTGTTCTAGGTTATAACCACAACATGAGAAGCTTATATAAAGAAATTGCCTGGCAGAAAGGTGATAGATTAACATATAAACGTGTTCCCACTATCTACAATATCCTCAGAAACAGAAAGGACAACACTGACATGCTTAGGGTATTAGGAGTTTATAGGATTCTGTTGAGAAACAATAGATTCAAATGTGATCTTGAGTACATCGGCACCACTACACAATCACTCAAAGTAAGGCTTGTGGAACACAAATTGATATTGATAAAAGAAAATATACAACACTGCCCTAGCCGGGTATGCACAGACAATTACATTCAAGTCTATCTAGGCAAAGCATACATTATACAGTAATCTACATTATAAGTAATCTAATCAGGACACTAGAAGCTCTCAAGATATTCAAATCTGAAAAGAGGGGCTGTTATATCAATTTCAAGGATGAACAACAATTATCTTATGCCTGGCAATCTTTATATCAACAGGAACAGTCGATTAAAAAAAATTTTTTTTAATTCTCATTTATACATTTTTTCAAATAATCTTAAGAATGTTTCATTTTCCACATTCCATTTGAGAATGCTTTAACCTGCAGATGATTGCTTATGTAGATCAAAAATGTTTGTGTTTTATCTGCATTAAACTATTCTGGAATTGTACTTTTAAGGTTTAGAGGTGTGCTGTTTTTTATGCCTATGTAAATAGTCTGTCTTTGCTAAGAGCTTGCAACCAGAAGTTATATGATGTATTGTTTTTGGCAGAATATGGCATTTTCTGCAAGAGTCATTTTAGTGATGTAGAATTTGTTAGTGATGTTTTCTTCAGGTGTATTTTTTATAGTTTTTAGTGTTTATGACCTGATCTTGAATGGCAACTATAAACCTCTCAGTCTCTCCAAACAGGCAGCACCTAGTCAGCAAGTAATTTGATGCAGTTTTGCCAAAATAGTCCTGAGCTAGGTATAGATATTCCTGCCAAGAAGAGCATTTTAGGTCAATGGCTATTTAATATTGCATATATTATTTGTGTGTTGATCTATGTCCAGATGTTCAGAGTGTTTAAAGTATGTTGTTACTGTCTGCTAAAGTTATAGCTTGTTATTATTATCATTATTCATTTTAAAGTATTATTTCCTAAAAATATCATATTTTAATACTGCATTAAAAATTAGCACTTTTTTTATTTATTTTATTATCAATTTTAATATATACTAAATACTAGAATAATTTATGAATTTAATTTACTGACAATAAAATATTCTTGATGATGATTCAAAATATTGATGCCTGACTAACCAAATATTAATGTGATGCATACTAATAAGTTATGTATATGACTTGTTAGTTGCTATGTGTATTACAAATAAATGTTTCTCAACAGTCAAGGGTGTTTAGTGATGAATTATTCTTTCTGCTGAGTACGGGTTTGATTCTTACATATGTAACTTATTGAATTCAATTTATTATTTGTGATGTAATTTTTTTTTATCAGTGAACTGTGGTTACTTTGTGACATTTTTCACATTTTTTTAATGTTAATTACTGCATTATTGGACCAAACATAGTTGTTATTTTAGGAAGATTTAACTTTCCCTTTTCTTTACACACACACACACACACACACACACAGTTCTTAATTGTTAATTTATTGTTTCTGTCTCCCTGTAATTACTTACTGTCTTTAAAAGATGTTTTGAAAATTTTCAACCTCTCTAGGTGTTTTAAGTTGGACCAATCAAACCTAGGATGTATAAAGATATCTTGGTTATAGGCTATCTCAATGTCATCTTCACTCCTGTAAGAACTCAGGTTGGTGGAAGATAGGTCTTTTTAATAGAATATATGCTCTTTAATCCATTTCTACAATGATCTTTTAGTGGCTCTGATGTATACTAGTTTTTTGTTAAATCATTTATCCTTAAAGGGGATGGAATAGACAATCAGAAGTGAATTGTAATTTATTGGATCTTATGAGTTCCTTAATAATGAATAAATAGTAGGGTTCTGTTTGAAAAGATTGGATGTGTTTTAAACCTGGATCACTCTATATTTTGGGCATTTTGAATTATCATTGTCAGTGGACTGAATTTGGAAACAATCTGAGTTTGAAATCTTGGAGGATAACAGATATCATCCAAACCTCATAAAATATCTATTTGACATTTCCAAATCCACCTCACTGACAACAATAAATCTGAATGTTCAAAATATAAAAGTGGCCTGTTTTAACCATCACCTATTCACTCTTTACAAGCAGATTAATATTATTGTGTTTAGCAATCTGGCATACAAATGGAATCATATGTTTATTCATTATTAAGGAACTCAAAGGATCCAATAAGTTACAATTTATTTTCAGGGGTGTATTCCATCCATCTTAAGGTCAAATGGTTTAACAAAAACTAGTATGCATTTGAACCACTAAAATATCATTGGAGAAACAGATTAAGGAGTATATATATTCTATTAAAAAGGGTCTATACTCCACCATCCTGAGTTCTTACTAATGAAAATAACATTGAGGTAGCCTACAACTAAGATCTTATTATACATCCCAGCTTTGATTTGATCCAATTTAAAACATCTAGAGAGGTTGAAAATTTTCAAAGTATCATTTAAAAACAAAGATCTCCACACATGGGAGAAAGTTTCTGCCTCCCATGCATGGAGATCTTTATTTGATCATTCTGTAAATCTAGTTTGACATCATTGATCATGTGTCAGAGGCAGTCAATTACAGTAGAGTGTCGATTATCTGAATCAATTGGGGACTGGGGTTGTTTGGAAAATCGATATTTCGAATAACCGATTATGTATGAAAAAATATATTAATTTATCCCATGTTGAAATTTTTCTCCGTTGCGTGTCGCTTCGCGTTGCATTTTCGTCGATGTTAAGCCTAACAAAGACTATTGTATCGTTAAAAATTATTTTTTTATTTTGTACAAAAAAAATAAATATACAGTAGAGCCTCGATTATTCGATCCAATTGGGGACTGGGGTTGGTCGGATAATTGAAAAGTCGGATAACCGAAAAGTATGAAAAAATCCATTATTAGTGTAGTATATTATTATATCCCATGTAATTAGTATATTAGTATATCGCTATTAACCTACTTCGCGTTGAATTTTCATCGATGTTAAGCCTAACAAAAATATTTTAAAATAATAATCGTCGCTATTGTATCGTTAAAAATTAGAAAATTAAGCCTCATTTAAATACTGGCTCCCTTTCATGGTCGAATGAGTGTTGTCAGCTAAAACACGTAAAAATAATAATAAAGTAGCCAAGACATAACCAAATGTTGTAGTGCCACATCACTAGCAAACATTTGAAATTTGCCGACTAGGACGGTCGGTTAACCGAGGTGTCGGTTAATTGGGGGTCTGATAATCGAGGCTCTACTGTATTGAAAAATATAAAAACAATAAAAAATTATACTTCAGAAGTTAATTTAGTATCAAAAACGTAAAATATTTGAGTAGCCCAAGACATAGCCAAAGATTGCAGCACCACAGCACTGGCGAAAATTTAAATTTGCCGACTGGAATTCTTTCGGATAATCGACGCTCTACTGTATATCATACTATGTTTGGTTTTTTCGAACTCTGTGTTCTGTATTTCAAAGTACTTTTCAACCTGAAGGTGATGACTCAAGTTAGTCAAAAATGCTTGCTTTTATTAAGTTTTTGTTAAATCAAAATTATACTGCTCAATTTTCTGGTTTGTTTTTGATATTAATATTAACCTAGTTCTCAGTTGTTACTATATCAGAGTATAATACCAGTTCAAGATATAAATGAAGATAAATAGGAAAAAATAGAAAGAAAAAAAATTATCTTAGATTGTTTTATTGGCAATAATTTATTTTAACATGTGAAAAGATTAATTGAATATATTTAGAAAGTAAGTTTTTAAATATGTGTAATTATTCAATTTCAAAAACATTAGAGTTTTGTATTCTTGGAATTAAATAATTTAAATTTTTTACTGTAACAAAATAATAATGTAGATAAAATTTACAAAAACTTATAATTTTTTTATTAAAAGAAACTTTAATCTGGAAAAGACTGGGCTGATGGATTCCTGGAAATATAATAGTTTGACATTTATAAAAACAATATTATTTTTTTATTGTTATCTTCTTTTTATTAAGGTAGTAAATTTATTGTTGTTTCATTGAATGCAATATAAAAGTGTTTTATTTTTAGGTCATAAATGGGATCTACAATCAGCATTATCTGCTTATTATGTTTTAAAAGGAATTGTACCATCATCACCACCTTCATTAAATTATAATAATTTGGATAATCCTCTTCCATTAAGTACATTATCATCATCATATGAAACAAGAAACTCATATCCATTGTCGGCTCAGAGACCTCAGTTAAAAAAAGTAGAAGCAGTTGATATTGAAGATGGTCCAAGTAAGTAAGAATTTATGTTCGAGCATTTTAGTAGTATGAATATTATCTGTAGTGAAGATTTGAATTACATTTCAATATGACAACTTTTAAATATAAAGTATCTTCTGGTTTTGTAATCAGTTATTTATAAATTATGGCTGTAAAATAGACATTTGATTTTATGTTTTATAGATAAAAATTTGTACAAAAGATTGATAAAAATAAATTTATTTTCAGCTAAGAAATTGACTCGTGGAATATCTAGTGCAACAGACAACTTAACTTTAGTCACTAAAGCAAGAAATGAATTTGCTCAGGATTTTAGATCAGCTGGTACAGTGAGCACAAGACGTACCCATATCAGATTAGAAACACCTGATTTTACTTTTACTCTTCCTGATCTTTCAATTTATCCAGATGATTTTAGAGATTTTTTAGAACATGATTTAATCGAAACATCTACACTTGTTTCTTTGGAACAAGCAGGTAAGATAATTTTTTGTTCTGATAAAATAATTATCAGTAAATCAATTATATTCATTTTCATCAATGAAATTAGTAAAATATGATAAAAAATGTTGAGTTTATTAAGATGATTTTGTGAGATTCATGTTTTGATAATGGTAGTGGTTACCTTACAATCTTAAGTATTAATTTTTAATATTCCTTGCTAAAAAACTAAACATTGTATATTTTTCAGATAGAAAACAATTCTCTTATTTATAATTAAATGATTAGGTATTAAATATACTACTACATAGTTTCATTTAGTAGTAGAATGAATCTACATGTATATTTCACTGCTTAAACATATTTATTATATCAGACATGGGCAAATGCAGCTCTTTTTGAGTTACATGCAGCTCCTGCTGAAAGTGTTAATTTCTGCTTTTTATTATTATTTTTACAATTTTATTTCCACAATTTTGTGAAAATATGTTTATTAAAAAAATTCAATAATATTTGTTTTATATTATATAATAAAATTGCGGTACAGAACTGCAGCTCCCATGCATTTTGCAAAACCTACATTTTGGCTCCCACTGAATACCCCTGTATTATATCAAAATAAAATTTCTGGAAGTTGCATTACATTGAAATTTCCTCATATTACAGTTTCATAATCACTTTGGAGTGTGTTATGACTAATTTATATAAGCTTATTTCTACATATATTTTTTGAAAAAACAGCAGAATATACAAAAAGCAGAATTAACAAGTATAATGAAGTTTACAAAAAATTTTCCTAATTTGTTTTGATTAATTAAAATTTTTAAGAGAGACTTATCTAATAGATCAATTGATTTAGGTAGCCGGGTCTTTTATTGGCTAATGTATTTAGAGATAGACTGACTTTGCTGACTGATTATTATTAGCTAATTGCTAAAACTTCTACAGATGTTATATTCCAGGGGTGGCCAACCTGCGGCTCGCGAGCCACATGCGGCTCTTCGAAGGATTATTTGTGGTTCTCGATAAATGTACTGTACCCGAGTTCCCTTTTCATTTTTGTGTTATTATATTTTAAAAAATTATTATCGTCCGTATGTGTTTCAAATGTCTTTTAAATTACTAACAACAAATATGAAAGACTAAGTGCAACGTTGTAACAAATTTCATTTCCGTCCAAGTTAAGAATGATATGACTCATCGAAAACTGCGCGAACGAACATAAACAGTGGCGTAATCGTCCGTTATCGACCGACTCCAGACCGATTTCGAATTTGTAAACTGTCATTGCAATGGACAGTTGACATTGTGCTCTGGAGGAAACAAGTTGTATCACTCTTGCTATGGATATATTTTGTAATTGGAATTTTTTGCATACCTTTAATTGCGGCTCGCGAAAAATTTTAATTTTGAAAAATGGCTCGGACTATCAAGGAGCTTGGCCACCCTTGTTATATTCTTTAATTAACAGTAAGTTGATGATTTAAGAATAAGAACATTTATAACTTTAATAAGAAAATTATTTATTTAATATATAAATACATGAAATACACTAATATTTCATGTGTTTACTCATCCAATAAATTATATACTCTAAATGTGGTTATTTTCCTCTAATTCAAAGCTCCAAGGGGCAGGATAAAATTTTGAGTTACAGATATTTTGAATTAGAGAGCAATAGAGTGAAAAATATTGATTCTGAGTATTTTTGTATGTTTATCTCTCTTGCATTATATAAAGAATCTCTGATAGTTTTTTGTTTTAAACAGCTTTCAGCAAAATGTTCAATGTATTCATTGTAAGTAATGGAATCAAACATGTACATCTTGTTGAGATAAAGTGACAGATACTGTTGCTTTGGACCAGAACATTGTATACAAATGGGTGTTGGGCAGTAGATACAACTAACTGAAAATTTTGCAGAAATCTGATAATTTGGATCACTTTGGATAGAATAAATATTAAAATTCAAGTCAGGGAAGTCGAAAGTAACGTAAATCAGTCTCAGGGGGCTATGAAAACCTTTGACTTGGAGGAAATTTGAGGTTAAGAAAATTCAATTTGGAGACATTAAATCCCTGTGCTATTCCATTGAGACCTACCAAGTGCTACAGATCTTTGAATTAAAGAAGTTTTATTGTATTCTAATTTCAAAAAATATCCAATAATAAATTTAACTGTTGTTTATTTTAAAATTGTAACAAAAGCAGAAAATGTTTAAAATGAAATGACTGTAGTTAGAGTTTTTTTAAACACACAAATTAATTATTTTTAAGACACCAAAATTATTTAAAAAGATAATTTTTAAATTCTTATACAGCATAATTCTATTGTGCAAGTTTTTAAAATTTCTGTAGTTTGCTTGGTTATTTGATTATAAGAATGTTACATTTTTTAAAACTATTTTTAATTAAATATTGTATCTCATTTTTTTACACACAATATTTTCAAATATTTGAAATTAAAACCTTTATTATAAAGATTAAACTAATATGCATAAATAAAATTTATTTAATTATGAATTTATTAAAAATGTTTTGTTGAGAGCTGAATATTTAAGTGTAAGCTGTTGTTGGATTCAGACTATTGTTTGTAATAACAATAGTCAGTACATGTTACTATAAGTAAATTTAGTAACATTGCATTTATTGTTCTTTGTTTTGAATGATACAGTTTACTTTTATCAATATGATCTGTTGTCTTTAAAAATAAAAAAACATTGTATTATTCTTGAGTTAGTATCTTTTCACTATGCTATGTTTAATTTTATTATTCTGTCAAAGACAACAAAGTATTTAATTCAAGCTATGTTTTTCATTCTTTGATTAATTGTTTAACTTAAACTTCAGAGTAACATAGTGACTTTTTTTTAAAAAAAAGCTGATTTATATTATTGAAGTAAACTGTATTATATATAGTTTTATACTCTGAGACAAGCAGATAGGAATATAAATTAAAATTATTATAATCAAGTCTGGTGTTTTGAAAACATTTCCATTTGTTTCCAATTTTCCTTAAAATAGCCAATTTGTCCCCAAATTTTCCTTGTTTCCCATGTAAAACAGTTTATTCTCAACTTAATGTTTCTGTGCCATTTTGATTATATCTAATTGATTCCAGTGTGTGTGCATTCCAAGACTTATAGTATAAGTATAATTTTTAATTTATAAATTTTTTATTGATTTAGAATATAAAATTAATTAAATATAAGGTCATAAAAATTATGGATTATAAACAAATCATTTAACCAAAAACTAATGTATATAATATGAAAATAGACATTTTGAAATACAAATTCATATGATTGGTTACTTCTATAATGTTCCAAGCACAAGTGATTGCTTCTCACACTTAATGTCATATACTGCATATTTTTGAAAATACTTGTGCATCTAAAAGCCTTTTAGGCTTTAGTCTAATAAGAGCTTTTATCTGCCTGAAGATGGACCTTCTTAGCTTGAAGCAAAAACTCAATGACTAAGAATTATATTGTATCCATGTAGCTACAAGTCATTTCCACTACTACAGCATATTGTATAGCATGTGCACATTCCTTTGAAGTAACAAAAACAATCAATGAAGGCATTACAGAAAAGAAACATTTTTATTGGCATCTGACAAACATTTTTAAGGTGCAATATCTCATTGGCCAAGGTGGATCATCCTGCCATGAAGGAATTTCTAAAGGAGTTCACAAAATTTGAAAAAAATCTACATCTTGAAAGTGAAATCATAAAATAGATGCGTGAACTCTCACATGTAAATCATATAAAGTAACTTGTCTTTGGTTTCTACTGATGTAGAATATACTCCTCCTCAATTTACAAGAGTTTCATTTTAGATCAGACAGTTTTGTTCTTAATACCATTGAAAAATATTATTTAAGTGAATGTATCCCAGAGTAATTTTATAATTATAGCGATCTATTAAAAGTGAAATTCTGACCAGTAATAATTAAAAAATGCTTGTTGTTGATTTGTGTATTATAGATTACAATGAGTGCTTGTTTTCAATTTATCTTGTTTGTAAGTTATTTCTTTAAATAAATACTGTTGTCTCCAAGTATTTCAAACCTGTTCTCCATACATTGTATTCAAAGTTGATAATTTTGTTCTCAAGTTTTCCATGATTAAACTAAATTTTTCTTTTTAAATTCTTCAGTTCTGAATATAATAAATTATTTATGTAATTAATACTCATAAAAATTTTAATTTAAATGCAATTATTTTCAGGAAGACTTAATTGGTGGGCTGACATTGGAATTTGCCAAAGATTATGGCCTCTTGCAACAACTGGAGATGGAAATTGCTTACTGCATGCTGCTTCACTTGGTATTAATATTTATCATGTTGTTATTTTTTAATAAATGAATATTTATAATAAATTTTACAATATATTAATTTTAATAAGAATCAAAGAAAACATAATAGATTAAACAAATAAACAGACACACAACATCATTATAGACACTACTGACTCACTGATTGGCATGAAATATGTTTGAGCAGAAGCAGATTTCTTGTTAAAAATGAAACAGCACAATATTCCATCAGACTAATCTGAAATTTAAAAATTCCAGTGACAAGTTGCTTAACTTTCCCAGCAACATTTGGTGGTGCCATCTGTTATCATATTTTAACATTTTTATATTTTTAACTATTATAAAATGGCAAAAAGCATAATTTTGAGGATAGGGATGGTTTTTATAAAAACTTGTAAATGCTAATAATGAATAAAATGCCATTAAGTCCATCCCTACTTCAGATGTGACACACAACCTCCTCTATCTTTAATTGCCAAAATTTAATAGCACCAATCTCCCTAATACACAAACCTCCCTGCAAAATTTCAGAAATTTTTGACAGAAAGCACAGGGGTTATTAAGCTTCAAACAGGGCGAGTAAAATCGTGCTCCCCCCACACTAATATGTACATACAGGAAAAAACCCCAAAGTTTTTTGCATTTCTCGACATTTCAAGTTTCTGGGTCCAAAATGTGAAAATCTTGGGCTGTCATTTTTGACCGATCACCATACTTTTTTCTGTTACTATGTCCATACTACCTCTGTTATATATAACATAGCCATGAAAGTAAAAGTAAAATATTTTATGGGCTTAATAGTTTAATTTTTGATCTTTATAGAACAAAATAACAAATGATTAATTTTAACTACTGTGTTTCAATTTTTGAAAATCCTTTCTACTATTAATTTGCTTTACATTATTTTAAATAACATTTTATTTTGTCTTACTATAAATTATTTTTTATTAAAATTTTTTCATACATAAAATTTAAAAACTGTAAATATGTAAATATATATACAGTATAAACAATTAAGCCTGAACTTTATAATAATCAGATCATTAAATACTGGATTAATTTTTGACTATAACTTGGACTGAAGTGTTATTTATGAAAATGTCTAATTTGTTATTTATAAATTAATAATAGTTGCCATTAATTTCATAGTTATTCATCATATATTCAGCATAATTATAATCTGATTACTTAAATAATAATTTTTAATGGATAAAATTGAAACAAGTTTATAAACATTCAAATTTATAGCACAATTTAGAATGGAGTGATTCAGTAGATAGCCATCTTCAGAAATGAAATTATCAATTGTTATAATCACTTTATTTTCAATAATGTGTATCAGTCGACTAGTTCCTATGTTGTTTGGTAAAACAATATAGAAACTGGTTGAACTGTTGAATTATATTCCTTATACATCACTTAATATAAAACCAACAAACATTCTATTCTAGAGATAAATTATACAGGGTTTTTATAAGTAAAGTTCCAGTTTGAAATGGCCATAAAAGGAAAACTAGTGGACAAAATGTTATCAAACATGGTAATAGCTTACTGGAAGTCATGGAATTTATTTTCTGCCAAAAAAAGGGGGAGTTTAAAAACTCACCAACAGCAGGGAATGGTGCTGTATGCAATATTGTTAAATGAAAGAAGACATGAAGACATTGGTTGAAAAGGAACAGTTTGGTGGAATTGAAAAATGTGATACACCGACATGTCCATAACATTCCTCCTGATATGCTAAGAGCTACTGTTGAGAACACAGTAATGTGATTTAACTTGCTTTCAGAAAATGGTGGATGCCACATTGAACATGCTTTGTAACACGTTTTAGAAATGATTAAAAGCATTTTCAATCGATGTCTTCATGTATTATGTCGTTTAACAATATTGTGTAAGCATCATTCTTTGCTGATGATGAGTTTTTGAACTTTTTATTTTTATTTTTGCAGAAAATAAAATCCCATGACTTCCTGTAACCCAGGGTGTCCAACCGTTTTGTTTCTCCGGGCCACATTGAAAGAAGTCATGGAGTTTTGTGCCACAAGTATCTTGTATATACTTATAGCCCAATCCTTAAATATACTAGTATATTTAAGGATTAATATGTCTAGATTATAGTAATAAGTATTAAAACTTTATCAGGAAAAAGGATATTTAAAAAAATTACTTCTACAGACACTTTTAATTTTTACTTAGAAATAGATAAATTCATTGATTATAAAGGAGACAAACAAAAATTTATTTGAAAAACACAAATATTTGTTTTATTTGGGTCTCTAATTAATAAAAAACGACAAAACACCATTTTAAAGTGCATTTTTATTTGATTAATATATTTATGATATGTAGCCCAAAAAGTAGCCAACGTGCCAAATGATATTTTTTACGCCAAACTAAAAAAATGGGTAGCCAAATTTGAAACACAAAAAAGTGCAAAGTAGCCAAATCTTGCAACGCTGGAATGAATACTAAATAAAGCTGGAGTCGGAACTCAAAGGATTATAGACCCAAATGCAAGGACAAAAGATAAAGAAGTGAGGAACATTGGAAAATTAAGGGTCAATATTTGCATAACAGAAGGTCTATTTAACCTTTCTCACTACTTTTTATCTTTTGGCCTCTCTCTCAATTCCCTGAATTTGGGTCTATAATCCTTTGGGTCTGTAATTCTCAATTCCCCGAATTTGGGTCTTATAATCCACAACTCTAGCTTTATTTAGTATTCCTTCCTCATTCACACATTTTCAAGTATTTGAAAACATTTCCTTTCCACTCAAAAATAAAATATGTATAAAGGTATATGGCTTTGTGAAACTTCTTTTTGAGTTTATGCCATTGAAATGAATAAATAAAAATAAAATTAAAAAATTTGTCGGTTTTGTTTACACATTCATTGGGCCGCATTGGAACTTGCCTTGGGCTGAATGCGGGCCACGGGTTGGACACCCCTGCTGTAACCTATTACCAAGTTTGATAACATTTTGTCCAGTATTTTTCCTTGTATGGCCATTTCAAAGTGGAACTTTAATTATAAAGACTCTGTATTTTAATAATTCAGAAACATCTCCCACAACTATGGAAAATATCAATTTTTTCAAACATTACAACAGTTTAAAACATAATTTATGTTCAGAGTGTAATATATATATATGTATATAGGTTTTCTAAATTCCGTATACACTCCTGAATAAAAAAGCTATATTACGAACAAAGTTATTAATACATATAAAAACAAACTATTGAATTATATTTCTTATACATCACTTAATAAAATGTTTGTTGGCTTTATATTAAAATATATATTATATTTTTTTATAGCCTGATAGCCTGGATTTTCTTATAGCCTGATAAAAAATCCAGCATATTGTTTGGTAAAACAATATGCTGGATTTTTTTATCAGGCTATAAGAAGAAAAATTAATAGTCAAATACAAAGAAATATCCTCCATTTTGAAAACTTTTTTTTTCTCTTTTAGATAGGTTTTACTATCTAAATTGTTAAGTTTTTAAGTTCTTAAATTTTTTATAGTGTATATTTTAAAAATAATGCAGCATATTCTGCTAAAGTTAAAATTAATTGAACAATGTTTTTATTAAATGACTTATAACAATAAAGATTTAATTATTAAAGTTGTTATTAACATATGGAATTGTCCTAGGTTTTTAATAAAACAGTGTTTATTATTTATGTAAAATTTAATTGTTGTAAATATTGCTTTATTAAAAATTTTTAAATATATTTGTATATATACTATATAATTTCATTAATGAAATTATTCAATTTTAATTAAATACAGTCAAATCTTGATACAGTTGTTATCAATATAATGATTAATCTTTTCATAATGTTATGAAATATGAATTTGTCTTAATGTAATAAAAAATTTCTGTACTGCAATAAATTTCTGTTTAGTGATACAAGTTTTTTATACTATACTTGTGAAATACAGGATTTTTCTTTTCCTACAATGATGATAATGTAGTAAATTATATTTTAATTGATATTAATTTATTGGACATTTTTGGAATTAAAATGTTTGCCTTTAACACACCGATTCTATCGTGAAATTAGGTGCAGTTGGTAGTTATCAGTACAAATGAGAGCAGAATTGCCAAATTTAGCATGTTTTTTGTATTTTAGCACCTAAATTTTTTGTTTTGCATTTAAAATTATTTATTTACTTTTTACTTTACCTGAAACATTAACTTTTCAACAAAATTTATTTTGACAGCATTTAATGTTAAATGACAAAGGAAACCTGTTTTAACTTTTTCTAGAGCAATTTAGTTTTTTCCTTTTTTCCCTTCAAATCTGTCATTTCTAGTTTTTTCAAGAAATTATAAATTATAGTAAACCTGTATATTAGTCAAAAACCAAAATCTGCCAGAATTTGATCTTACTAGATAAAAGTAATAAATTTTAACAACACTAAGATAGTTCCCATATAATTTATGGAACCTTTATATTAAACTTCTTTAACATAACAAAGTTATCTTAAAAAGTGTACAGGAATGTCTTAATGTTACAAATTACATTTATTATTATTATTATTATTTTTTATTATGCATACTGGATACAATCCTTGATGCGGGGAGCAATACTTCTCCTGAAAAGAAAACAGTTAAATACAAAGATTATAAAAACACAGGCAAAAATATACAATAATAAATTATAAGTTAAGATTCAAAATTAAAATGTAATATTTAAAGTTTAACGCTTGGGAGCATCTGTCAACAAAATACGAAAATACCAATAAATAAAACAATAATAAGCAAATCACTTACCTAAAAAGAAAAAAATAATTTAGTATCAGTGACACAGCACTGACAGATGCTTCCAAACAACACCAGCAACGAAGCCAAATTTATAGCAGAGGAAACATGTCCCCTAAAACAAAAGATCAACAAATTTCTTTAGAAGACAAAACATTAAATTGAAAACATGGTTCCAATAAAATTTTAAGAAAGAAAGACCTGGAAAAAACAATGCAACCAAAAATTTCTTCTTGTAATACTTTTAGATGCCAACATTTGGCCAAAATATGCCTAGCATCCACATTTTCTTCCTCAACACAAAAATTACGCAGTTCTCTCGAGTAATTATTTAAGAAATTCAGTGAATTACACCTAGTGTGAAATTACATTTATTAAAATAATTACAAAAAGCATTTTCATTAAGAAATTATATTTCAGGAATAGTAGTTTTACTTTCATTTACTTCATTTTGCCTAGGAAGATTCATGTTCCTAGGCAAAATTTCAGGTTCCTAGATGATTTAGATGTGTAACATATACTGTAGAAATAATATGCAATAAATCATTTAAATCTTATACTAGAAGAGACTGGATTATTTCTATAATATTAAATGAGGAAGGAGATACTTTTTAAGACTCGCTTAACAGTAAATCTCTGTGACAATACTTTTTCTTGTTCTACTAAATATCACTATAGAGGGGTTTGACTGTATTTGATATATTTATTTGTTGAATATGGAAAAAATTCATTTGATATAAATGAAAATAGAATTTTCAATTAATATAATAATAATATGATACAGGTATTCCTCATATAACAAGGTAGTTACATTCTGAAAAAGTGTCATGTTATGTGAATCTGTCTATATGAAACAAAGGACTAATGCAAAACATGAGTTACATTCCAGAAGTTAGCAAAAGTGTACTATTCTTTTTCATCACTAAGAGAAATATGTTTAATAAAGCAATTAATGATTTATTTCCAATCAATAATTAACTAAAACTTACAATTAAATGTACTGTGTACGTGTTAATATTACTTTTAGTTAAATGAGGGCATTTTCGTTTTACAGAGTATCATTGTCATAGCTTTTTTGTTGATCTTGATCAGAAGTATCAGCAACATTTTCATATTTTTTATTTTTATCATAAAAAGTTATTAAGGATGAGGAAATAAAAATATGTTATTAATCGAAAATTGTTTTAGTGGTCATGTTTGTTTAGTCAAGTACCGAGCAACTTTTTTCCAGAATTTATGTCCTAATACCAAATTGTTCAAGTACCGAAATACCACTATTTCTTTTGTCTTATTATGAATGATTTATTACCTACAGTTAAAAAAAAAAACTTTAATAACACTTACCTAAAAATGTTTAAATAAACTTTACTAAATATGAAGATTAATCTATAAAAAGAAAACAGAGACAGTCTTAAGGACTAAAGTCTGAAAGCAATGACAACAACACCTGGTTGATAGGAAAGTTAGTGCAATTATTTTCTTTCTTGTCCTGTCAGTTTTCATTAAAGTAAACCTGATGCAAAACACACAATAATTTGAAAATTTCAATATTCTAAAATCCATGGGCAAATTTGAGACAACATTCTTGTTTACTTTAATTTAAAAAAATATCAAATAATGAATTTTAAACTTGAAAATTGTGAACTTTTGTACAGAGGATTTTCAAAACTGTGTTAGAGCGAAATCGTGTTTTAGAAGTACCATGTTGTATGAGGGATACTTGTATTTTATTTTATAACAGTAAAAGACATTTTGTTGTGAATATTATTATTATAGAAATAAAATTTAATGTCTGTTTTTTTAACATTTGAGATGTTCAGCAGGATTCTGTTTATTTATTTATTATTTTAAATACTCTAAATTTAGTTTAAAATTTGAATAACTTAGTTTATTTATTTATTTTATTTTTGTTTAGGTATGTGGGGTTTTCATGACAGATTACTAACTTTACGAAAAGCGCTTTATTCGTTGTTAGCAAATAGCTCATATACTGAGGCATTTTATCGCAGATGGCGATGGCAAACATCTTTACAAAATAAAGAAGTAAATATAAAATAAGTTTTTAAAATAATATATTGCTTTGAATAAAATGAATATGCAAAAGTAAAACTAATTACTTAATTTAACTTAAACTTTGTTTTTAATATACATATATAAACTTTTAATTAAATTATCTAGTTATAATGAATACAGTACACCCTTAATTTAACAGTTTGGATTTAATGAACAAAAAATACGTCCTATAGGAAAAGTTTAAAACCTGTTTTTATTCACAAATAGTATGCTAAAAGATTGGATCAATGAGTTAATCAGTATAAATTATTTAATGTAAATTATTATATTATTTTATTCATACTTATATATTATAACAACATATTAACACATCTAGCACATTTTAAGTTCATTATTAATATATTCTTTTAAAACACTTGATTTGACTTTCAGTAATAGCAGATACCCCTTCTCTCCAGTTCATCTGTTAAATTGAGGGTTTATTGTATTAAACTTTTAAGTTTTGATAATTACTATTAATATTACTACTATAAATCAAACTGAAAATTACTGAGACATTAACAATTTTCCACTTAAATTGAAATTAAAATTATAAATTTTTATCATTAAGTTTAGGTTTATCGTTCTTAAGTTTAGGTATTAAGTTTATTTTTCACATTAAATTATAGGTTGAAATGCTTTTGCTTTTGGCTTTGCACCCTACTTGTACATGTACACATTAAATTAAATTTGTAATTTTTACAGTATATAACTTATTTTAATGTTTATAACTTAGGCTGGTCTTATATATTGTGAAAATGAATGGCAGCAAGAATGGAAGAATTTAATAAAAATGGCATCTACTGAGCCTAGGTCTAAAACTTTAACAAAAATCCATCGTGATTTATTTAGTAGAAGAGGGTAAGATTTTCATTTTTTAATTAAAATTTTCAAATTGTTTAAATTGAAACATTAAGTAATTTGGAACACCTAAAAATAATTTTGTAATACTTTAAATAAAATGTTTTTACAAGTGTATAAGTTTTAATTAGAAGTACAATCAGAAACCCCATTAGTACAAAGTTGAAGTAACTTAAAAATTGGTATATTTTATTACCAAGATTTGTATTATGCAAACTTTACAAAAAAATGAATGGTCATATTATTAAAGGCAAAATCCAATTTTTTCCCAGTAATTTCACTATATTTTGTTTTTGATATGTTTAAAAGTAAATAAATAAACAAAACACAGACTTTATTGAGATACATTGTCCTGAAGAAATTTCTGTAATCACTGCAGAAATATCTATGAAGATGCATATTTCTATAGTAGATTAAGGAAAGAATCAATGCTTGTTTTTTGATGTTAGAGTTGATAGAACAACAATTAAAGTTATAATAGGATATAAAAGTCTAACTAGCTGCAAATTGAATCCAGAGGCTGGTTATGTGTGAAACTTTACAAATTTAAAAGTAACTTATATGCTTGGATTTAAACGGAAATTGTTTATTTTTAATTTTAAAATTATGAACTAATTACTGTATTTAATATTCAGTTGTTTTGTTATTTCTGTTATTAAAGCAATTAAAAATAAATATTTCATAAAACTACAAAATTCTCTGTCCTATTAATTTTCAGTTTACAATGTGCGTATCAACTGTCTTAATTGTTCATCATTGTTATAGCATATAAAGTGCCAACCATAAGAGAAACTATAATTTTTTTCAAGTTGAAGTGAATGTACGAGGGGGCCCCAAAAAAACCAGATTTTTTGTATAAAAATGTTATTTAATAATTTTTTACAAAATTCCTTCAGTCACTTTCAAAGTACTCTTCATTAGATGCGATCCACTTGTCAAGTCCTTTTCTCCACTGTTTGAAGCATCTCTAGAACTCTTCAACCTTGATATTGTCCAGTGCCCTTAGCGAAGCTGTTTTTACTGCCTCCACATTATCAAAACGCTTCCCTTTTAGATTTTTCTTCATTCTCGGAAACAGAAAAAAGTTGCAAGGCGCTAGGTCTGGTGAATACAGAAGGTGGGGAACGACAGGCCATCCCCGAGAAGCCAAATAGTGGGTCACTCGTAAGACCATTTGTGCGAGGGCATTGTCGTGATGAATGAACCAGTCATCTGATCACCAAAGTTCTGGGCATTTCCTTTGCACATCCTCTTGCAAATGTCTTAAAACTTCCAAATAAAAGTGCTGGTTAACAGTCTGGCCAGGGGGAACAAATTCCCGTTGCACAATTCCACAAACATCAAAAAAGACAATGATCATTGTCTTCACATTTGACCTCACTTGTCCTGCTTTTTTTGGTCTGGGAGAGTTGGGAATCTTCCACTGGCTTGATGCTTGCTTAGTTTCTGAGTCATACCTGTAACACCAACTCTCATTACCTGTAATGACTTTGGTAAAAAAGTTTGGATCACTTTCAATTTCTTTTTTTAAGTCCCGGCTCAAATTCAATTCAATGTGTTTTTGATCCTGTGTGAGAAGGTGAGGAACAAATTTAGCAGAAACACATCTCATTTGCAACTGCTCAGTCAAAATCCACTGGCACAAGCTCCAACTCACGCCTGCCTCTTCTGAAATTTGGTCGATTGTAAAATGATGATCTTTGTTGAATTTTTGGTGGATTTTTTTCAAAGCTTTCATTGTTTTGAGATGTTGAAGGACACCCATAATGAGCACGGTCTTCAACTATCATCTCACCACGTTTAAAGTGCCCAAACCACTCAAAACCTTGTGTGCGGCTCATAGCATCCTCTTTAAAAGCCTGTTGCAACATTTGGTAAGCTTCCGTTGCCGATTTTTCAAGCAGGAAACAAAATTTCAAACACACTCTTTCTTCTTTTAAATTTGCCATAACGACTTCGCAGCCAGAACAAAATAACAGTAAGAGAAACACAACACTATGCTCAAACTTAAACCTACAAACTGATGTTGTCTGCACAGCTATTTCATGAAGGTCTCTACTAACCCCATCTAGCGGGAGAACTCTGTACTACATCTATGAATTGCAGCACACTCTCAGTTTGGTGTTTTTTTTTTTTNTTTATATTGTATGAATTTATTATTTCTTGTATCCCTCGTCACTTTTACTATGTTTTCTTGAACATAATAAACATTTTATATTTGACAACAAAAAAAAAATAACAACATGCAGCACACTCTCAGTTTGGTGTTTTTTTTTTTTTGGTCTCCCCTCGTAATTGGTGTGACCTGCATTGCCAATGACAATAATAGCATTGACATTATAAATATTTTCACCATCTTAGTCAAAATATATGTCCTTGGTTATGCTGTGGCTTGTGCATTGCCACTTTGATTTGTGTGACTTCAGGGAAGTTGGAAGCAGTGTGCTTTATTACATTAAACTATATAACATAATTATTTCATAAACTGATAATGCAATAATAGAGTTTGAATGTAATTAAGCATTTAAAATTAAAACAAAGTTTAATCAAAATAAAACATTGATTTATTATCTGTAGGTACATAACAAATGTATGCTTTTCAGTGTGTATAATGAATATAAATATCTTAATTTTCTCTTCCATTTGAAGAAAAATTAATAAAATAGTTGATTAATTCTATTATTGTCTACTATTTTACTATCACTATCTGACAGTAAATAAATAGTGAAAATATATGATTGCATTAAAGAGATGAAAGAATACAATACTCACTTTACGCTATTTTAATAGAGAATAATTATTTCATTTTAAGTTAATTATTTCCATTATCTATGTTTGTGTCCTGTGTTGTTATTGTACATGATTTTTTTTACATTTTAATATTTTTTGTTTTATGATGGTTTATATTAGTAATATTTATAATACATTAGAATCTAGATAAAAGGCTTTGCCATTTTTTTCTCTTTTTCAGATTTTTACAATTGTTTAGCTAAAAATTATTAGTGATACAAAGTATCAATTATGTAAACTTAATATGATAATTATAAATATTGATATATTTTATATAATAATTTAATTCTTTAATTCAAATGAAACTATTTGATATTTTGTCTATTTTACTGTTAAGTTTTATTATAATGTAATTGAATTTAGCCAAAAAATTAGTCTATAAAAATAATTTGGTCTTCAATTTCACAGAACATTGAGCTCTTTGAATGAAAATGAAGAAGGACTACAATCTGATGTTTATGAAAGTTTAGAAGAAATTCATATTTTAGCATTAGCTCATGTTTTACATCGTCCTATTATTGTAATTGCTGATACAATGCTTAAAGATGTCACTGGTGAACCATTTGCTCCTATTCCATTTGGTGGAATATATCTTCCTATAGAATGTCCACCTGCTGACTGTTACCGATCTCCTCTTTGTCTTACATATGATGCTGCTCATTTTTCTGCATTAGTTAGTATGGAAAAGGAAAGTTTTGCTGATAAAGTACCACAGTTACAAGGTAATTAATATTAAAGATTATATAGATATCATTTTATTTAATTAAGATATTAATAAATAAAAATTTTATAATATGCTTCAAAACTATAGTTTGGAAAGACTTATAAAAAACCAATTTTTAAAAAATTTACATAATTTGTTTTTGAAATTAGTATAGTGAAACCTGGTTAACTTGAACCAGAATAACTTGAAATCATATATACTTAAGTCATTTTTTTTTCTCTGATCTTCCAGCATGGGGATTTGTGTGTTAAATCAAACTGGTTAACTTGAATTCATTTGAACTGTTTAACTCAAATGAGATTTTGATATAGTATTTTCATAAACTGTCTGGAATTTTAATTTTCCATTAAATAAAATAATTAACATTGATCTGCTGAATAAACTAATCAGAAACTTCTATAAAGTGAAGGAACCACATACAACTAAAAATAAACATGTCACATGACTTCAAGTGGGGAGTGGAGGCTTCCAGATAGTGTGTGACCTAGATACTGTAACATCTATTCAAATTGCTTTTTTTTCCAAACGTTTTTTTTCTTTTGATTACTGATGGATTTTTCCAACTAGCTTATGTAATAAATAAATGAATTTTTGATAAAGCTTGGTTAAATGTTTCAAGTTTCTAAACACCACTGAGAGGTTTACATTGACACAACTGTTCTATGTAATAAGACCAGGGAAATATCATATGGATAGTATATTATGAGTTACCAATAAACTGATTTACAAAACCTTAATTTTTAGTTGAACCTCTATAACTTAACTTTTTAACTCAAAGTCCAAATTTTTTCCTCAACCAATTTGAATTAACTGGGCTCCATGTGTTTATTTCAAAATAAATTTCATTGACACACTTTTAATATATGATCTTTTGCATTTAGTGTTAATAATGACAATGAATAATGATTGCTGTCTTGTCTTGCTTATAAAAAGCTTCTTATTAAAAGCTTATACATAAGGATACAGGCTTAATTTCAAAAGAAACAAATATTTGAAAAAATGCCTCCTCCTGATTGATGTAATAAATTTTTAATTGTACAATTGTTTTAAATTTGAAAACTAAGGAAAAAAGTTTTTCAAAAAAAAAAAAAATTGACTTTTTGATCCAGCAAAAATGATTTCATAAACAAATGTTTTCAATATTTAAAACTCATTATCAAGTTAGCCATCAAATTGAACACAGTATAGCTATACTAAACTCAATTTGATTAATAACTTACAAATAGCTTTTAAAAAACTTGAAAAATATTTGTTTATTAAATACTTATTGCTGGATTAAGAGAGATACTACTTCTTAAGCACTACTTTACAGAGTTTATGGGAGTAATGGATTTTTTGCCCTTTCTACTAAAGGCACTAAAGGAGCTTTTTTTTATCTATCATTGTGGATTTGGATACCTTAGTGATGAGGGACAGAGCCTGGCTTATCTAGGACAGACAACCTCCCTAAAAATCTCTGATGTGTTTGACCTGGAACCCCAGAAAAGCAGGTTAATGCCTTTATTGCCTCTGTCATTCAGCCATTTAAGAGAGCAATGGATTATCATTTTCAATTTTCATATATCTTGGCAACTAATCACTAGATCTCGCATCCATAAGATCTTTGGTAATGAAACATTTGAAGAACCAGATGTTTTAGAAAGGATGTCATATCCTAGTAGATCTGAAGGAAACCATTAAATGACATGTTATGTTCTACTGAAAATTCATTTTTTGAATAGAATCTGTTGTTTCCTGTAATGGAGAGCATATTGAACAGTTATTGAATTCCTCAATGGATACATTGCACCACTGAACCATTGGTGAAAATTTTGTAACTTTTTCTAATTAATGTATTCTGCATATTTTGAAATGCATACTCTCCAAGTTTTGATGTATTTTGAGCCTTAGAACTTGCTCCAGTCACCTTCTAAGTAAGAATATTTTAATTATAAGAATCTTGTATTTGAAAAGTAATTTATGTTGTAAAGAAATAATTTTTTAATTACAAAAATTATTAATCAGTTATTAAATTATTAATCATTAATCAAATTATTCAAAGATGGAAATCATAATTTATACTGAGAAATTGATGTTACCTTAATGGAGATTTAAGTAATTTTTTACATTATATCAAATTTTGTAAGTCAAAAGTTATTGATAAGTCATATACTTTTTCCTGAATTGGTTTTTTTAACATTTTCTTTTAATATAGCTTGCTTCATAAATCTTGGTTATTAGCTTCATGTTATCTGAATAAGGCTCTGGATTTTTTAGAGAGATTACGTACTGGCAACTTGAGTTATATTCGTATCCTGTTGAATTTACATAATCTGTATTCTTTACATACTAACATACCTTGTTACTATGGTATATTCCAACAGCATGCTGAATTTGTAATTGAAGAATAAAACATAATTTATTGAACAATTATGGATATTTTTATTTTAGTAAAGTAACATTATGTCCCATTTTAGTGCTAAATCATTTTTACACATGGAAGACTGACTGCCAAACATTCACCATGATTCTGGCAGCACTCACATGCTTTTTTCACAAAATTGCTTATGACACTAATGCCTAATTCAGGCCCATTTTGCCAATAACATGTCAAATCTCTACGTTGAGGTCATTGATTATTCACATGAATACAAGATATGACAAACCCCTATGCTAATGGTATGTAATTTACATTCAACATTGTTAATGGGACATCCTTTACATATCAGATCTGCCCAGCCAAGATTCATGAAATGCATGATACATTAAGAATAAGCAAAGTTGAGAAAATTATCATCTAGGCGTTAATAACCAACATCTATCGCTACAAACAACAAGCGCTTTCAACGAAACTATTTTCGTCTTCTTCAGGTTAAAAGAACAGTTAATATCCTTCAAATTCAAATTACAGCAACGGCAAACCAGCATTGGAATAAAATCGAAAAACCTTAGAAGAGTGTTATGCAATGACAGGGATCCTTTGTCTGTGCTAGAGCGGTCTGGAGTGTATTCCATCCCATTGGAAAGTACAACATCTGGTACTCATACCCAGTATATCGGAGCGACATCCAGAATGTTGTCTTGCCGCATTTCTGAACACAAACAATCTATTAGTACGGGTAGATGCGACACTGAGTTGGCAAGATTGGTGTTGTAACACCAATACATTCCGAGGTTTCCGAGGTGGGACCAGGTGGGGATACTCAAACAGTGTGATAGCAGAAACATCTTGTATATATGGGAGGTGCTGTTTACCAGCATGCTAAATCCATGCAACACCCCCACGCTGGATGTGCCTTCCTTGTGGGTCAACTTATACAACAGATTAAAACAACGTCGCTAGCTCCGCATTCTCGCAAAATAATCTATTGCTCATGCACGTCGGTACCGAGCGCGCATCTTTTAAATTCTCTGTTTTAGTTCTGTTTCGATTTTATTCCAATGCTGGTTTGCCGTTGCTGTAATTTGAATTTGTAGGATATTAACTGTTCTTTTAACCTGAAGAAGATGAAAATAGTTTTGTTGAAAGCGATTGTTGTTTGTAGCGATAGATGTTGGTTATTAATGCCTAGATGATAATTTTCTCAACTTTGCTTATCCAATATTCGGCGTGAAGTCCAATAATATTTTTCACGTTTACATTAAGAATTTTTTTGTTTTGCACTTTATTTATTTAAAAAAATCAGTTATGAAACATGTTTATTTTGATCTGACAATTTACATACAAAAAAATTTATGGTTTCTTGGGTTTATAATCATTTTAACTTGAATGGCTATGGCTGTATCTAGCATTTTTGAATTGTTAACTAAAAGCTACAGTAACCAAATTATGTAGAAATAAAATATATCTATATACTTGTTTACTTTTTAAAACTGTATTTAAATGTCATAATTAACATGTTTAAAAAACTCAAAACTCATCAATAAAGTAAGAAACTAATTAAATTGGTTAGACTTCCAAATAGTTTGAAACAAAAAATAAAACCTTTGTAATCAGGTAACAAATTTTTTATTTTGAACTGTTCAGAATTTTTTAATTATTTATTACTCATGATTTTAATAAAACATTTTTTTATTTGTTAGCTGCCATACCACTCTGTGATGTAGAGCATAAATTATTACCTCTTCAGTTTGGAGTTGATCCTGGACCAGATGTGCAGTGGAGTCATGATGAGAATGATCCATGGATAATATCAAAGTTGACATTATTGGATAAGGATAAAGTTGGGCTACTAAGTGAATATCTTGATGTTATTGAAATTTCTATTCCATCATATGGACAAATTATATCAGAATCTCAGAATGAAATATCGAATCTAAACAATAGCTATTCTGAAGAGAAGAAGTATTTTTCTGAAATATGTGATAATTACAATGAAAGCAGTAATAATATTTATCAACAAAAAAGCAAAGCAGCACGTCAGCTACAAACAGTAGCAAAACAGTTTGGCAGTATTGGTAAAAGTATGAGCAAAAAACTAAAGAATTTTGGAAATATTACACGTAGAGCAGGTTCATTTAAAAATGATTCTGATAACTTCAAACAGAATTCTGAAGAACTGAAAAATAAAAGAAATTTAAACGAACCTTCTCCAAAGATAAACTGTGAACAGGATTGCCTTAATTCGCAACATATAATTGCAGCTATACTACACACAGAAAAACAACATGAGTATCAAGAAGAAATGATAAAAAATTATTTAATTTCAGCACGCTCCCGATTTGTTCAGGAAAAAGAATTAAAGGCAAAACAAGGAAATGAGTTCATTACTACTGGGTTTAGAGATACATATTCTTCCTCACAATGTGTTAATCCTGGATGTAACATGTATGGAACTGCAGCTACTAATTATTTATGCTCTTCATGCTATTCTAAACAAAAGCAACAAGAAGAGGAATTAAGAATGAAAAATTCAGATGTATCGTCTTCGGTTGTTGAAATTATTCCCAACGATCATGTCATCCGACTTGGAAATTCTGCATTTTACACAGAATGCGACAAAAATACAATGGCTTCTGTTGCAAAAGTGCCCTTGGGAATCCGACCTTCTGCTGATTCTGGACATTATCATTCTTTGTCTAAATCAGTGTTTTATGATGGTGATGTATCCCGTGAATCTATGCAATCTAATTCATTTTCAAATTCTACATCTCACCTTTCAAGTGATAAAAATACTTTAGTTAATTTTTCTGATAGTACTCCATATCAAATTTCAAGTGCATCTGGATGTACAATGAAAGTGGGCCAGAGAACTTATTTGTAAAATTAAAAAAAATCAAGCTAAGTATATTTATGTAGTCATAATTATAGAAATTATAAATGCACAGTGCCTTTGCAACTATTTTTTTATTTAAAAATAGACATGCACAATTCTTAATATGTTGATGATGGTTTTGGAAGTTGTTTACTTGTTATTTATAATATTTCTATTTGAAATAATTAAACAAATGGCTTAATAAAATATTAAAATTTATTTTAATAAATAAATTTTACTAAATAGAATTATATACCATGTATTTTCAAATCATGATTATATCAAGAAAAAATTTTAGAAAGTTTTGAAGTGAGCAATATACATTAACTAAAAGGTTTTAAAATGATAAATATAAATACATGAATAGTTTTCACACTTATGACATGTAATTTTCCATATTAAAATTGTTTGTAGAAAGTAATGTGGAATGTTTTATGATAAAAAATAATAATAATAATGTGATTGATTTTATAATTCTTTTATTAAAATTTGTTAGCAAATTTGTAAAACTTTTAAGTTTTAAAATTTGATATATAATCTTTGTTATCTTTCAGATATGAAAGAAAAATATAAATCTTTTATTATTTTTGAGAGAGAGAGATATTTATTTTGTTAGAATTATCAAATATTATTATTTATTTTATATTAAAATGTTTGCTTTGCAAAATCAGATAATTCCAAATTTATTTTTGCACAATTTTTAAAATTCAGTATTCTATATATATAAAAAGAATTGGAACTAATCAAAACAGTTTTCAAATTATATTATATAATAGCATAATGAAATAAAGATATAAAAGTTTTTGCTATGATTTAGAGTTATCTGACATTGTAAAGTTTCTTTATAAGTATAATATTTTATACTGTTGCTATAACTGGATGTTATTCTAGATTTAATGATTCTATAACTGGAATTTCATCCTATTTAAGTATTAATATTTGTTTTTTTCTTTTTTTAAATTATAAGAATTGTTGAGCTATATTATTTTAGAATTTTCTTCTGAAATCAAGAATAAGTAATAGCATTTAATATTACTTTAAAACCAAAGGAACCAATGAAAGATATTGTTTATAACAATCCAAAGAAGATTCATCTCTTTCAAAATATAAATCTTGTGTATGTAAAAAAAGAGTTAATAAATAAACTAATGATATAGGTTTGTTGTTCAACTGTTCTATTGGATGCTGATGATGATTATTGCTGTCTAAGAGTGAAATTTATAAATTATTATATGTGACTTAAATCATAAATATACAACTGATTAAAAATCTCGCTGTTTAGATAAATAGTAACAAATAAAAAAAGTTTATTAACTTGTAATTTATTGGAACTGTAACAGTTATCTTTTAGCTTATTTGCTCACTGGATATTATTTCAGTTACAAAGTAAGTGTTTTAGTTTATTTTAATCATTACTTATAATTTAAAATTTGTGAAATGTGATTTATATTTTGTATTAATTTGTTTTTTAAATGATTGATGCTACCAATTTTTAATCTAAAATTATTATGCACATATAAGAATTCATTATAAATAACAAATGACATGGTGAGATTATTTGTCTACAGTTTTATTCAAACACATATTGCTAAATACTTATGGCTTTATATACAAATCTTCAAGCATATGTCTTGTTTTACATACATTGTCATACATTATTGAAAATGTTTAACAAAATAGATAATTTTGGAGTAAGAATTTATATTGTATGAATTTATTATTTCTTGTATCCCTCGTCACTTTTACTATGTTTTCTTGAACATAATAAACATTTTATATTTGACAACAAAAAAAAAATAACAACATTCTGTTACTAAATATTTGAATATGAGATATTTATAAGTTGTTTTCATCCATTTTTTTTAATCATTGTCCTCTTTCACTTTATTCAAATTCTAGAATTCATTACTTAATTTATTTCCTACTAATGTCAGGCAGATGCTTACATAGTACTGTCAAATGAGATCTAGATTCAAATGTTAGTCTTTCTGATTTACTTATGGGTAATCCATACTAGTAATGTGTCTACCTCACATCTTTCTTGGTCGACTTCTTTACAAAACAAGCCCGTTTATGGTGGTCAAATAGTGACAGTATAATAATTGCATTAGTATTTCATGATAAAAAGCTAGTCTATTCTTTTAGTAATAACATTACATATTAAAGCAATGTTATAACAAAAAACAATTATAAAAATGTTTACTTATTAAAATTAACATAGTATGTAGAGTTGTTATATCTTGTATATGGATAATCAAACTGTTGAATTTTTTTCAACTTCAGTATGTACTTTTTGATAATCCTTGATTGGAGATAATTAAAATAGAAAAATTTGTAAAATTCACTAGTTTGCAAATTTACTTCCCACTTTTACTTTTGATGTTTTTACATCCTGGTTTTAATAGTGATATTGTTCAGGTACAATGCCTATAGCCACAAAAATCTGTGATATTGTGTATAAAAACACTTCTGTCCCTTTCTGTTATAGTTTACAAATTAGTTTCTAATGCTACTAACATACAATTATTGAAAAATAGTTACTAACATACAATTATTGAAAAATAGTTTGATTTCTTAGAGTAAATAAGTAGCAATTATAAAGATTTAAAAAACAGTAAAAAAGTAATTAATTTGATTTCAGCTGCTTATAATTTAAAAAATTTTTGATTAAAGAATGATCTTGAAGTATGAAATTAAAGAAAATTCAAATATATTTTTTCTTGTGAGTAGAAATGTTTAACTTTTTTTTTTCTTAATATTAGGAACATTTATGTTTACTATTAGAATATAATTTTGTGCAGGTTTTAGGTGCATGCTGAAAAATAACTTGCTTATCTCCAAGTAATTCTTAAATGTTAGAATGACAAAAGCTTCCAAAATATAAATAAACCTCTCAGAATTGACTGGTTTATTTATAATATATAATTTTCTACATTTTATATTGTAGCTAACATGGAAAAATTCTGAAAATTTGACACTGAAGTTAAAATAAATTGTCTTTATTAAATTTTTTTATTTATGACATCAGACAAAAATTCATTACTGCACTTTACAGATATCTGGAATTTGTTATTGAATATATACTGTATATTTTTTTCTAGTCATTATATATTATTAATTTTTTTCTACTTTATATAAGTTTCTTTACTTCTTGATAAGTGTCGGCTTAATTTTAACTTGGCAATAAAATAAAATTTAAAATTTTTAAATAGTTTGTTATGTAAAAAAATAATCATTTCTAATTCTCCACTCATTATTTAAGTAACAATATTACCTTAAAATGACTCAAACAAATTTGATACATAAACAACAGTTTAAACATTTCTGTTCATTAAATCATTTTCAAATTAGCTTTGAGTTTCTTGAAATTCTTAATTTCATCAGAGGTTTGTGTATATAATAATTTTAAGAAAGAAATACATTTTGGATATTTAAAAATGTTTAATTTATCCATTGTAAAAATTTAGAAAATATTGAACATGTAAGTTTTACATGTATCTGAAAAGAGAAAATAATGTAACATATGAACTTATCATTAAAATGTTAAATCTAACTAAATTGAATGCCATGTGATGATTAGACTAAATAAATTATATCATAAATTATTAAACTATAAATATAAATTCTTACTATAATTCAAAATATTTTGTGTTTTTAAGATCAGAATTTTTACTCTTATATGAAACTTTGTAAAAGTAAATTGTGCTATTCATTAGGACAATAATATTGTGTAGAGTTATAGTGGAAAATAAAGATATGAATTTGATTTTAAGCTCAAAAGAATAGTTTAATTATAATGCAGCAAACACAAGGCTTACATAACTGAACCACATACAAAGAAAACAAAACTGACAAGTGAGACAATATATAAAAACAGCAACACTAGTGCCACCTGCTCCATAAAATGCTGCACAAATATCAATAATCTCCCAATTGGTGCATGGGAGATGAACTGTTTGTCAACAGTTTGCTTGTATGAACAAATTTAACTTTGCCAAAGCCTTGGTACAAATGTCTGCAGTATTCTCTTTGGTGTGTACAAACTTACTTCCACTGTACTTCTTGCAAGAAACATAAACATACTGTATATCAAAGTGTTTGCTTTCCCATGTGACCATTGCAGACTCTTGCAACTCAACTACAGTGCTCAGTATCACTTACTCAACTACCTCCACTTACTCTGCTTTATTTTTTGCAAATATCTCATTCCAGAGTTGTTCAATCCAAGGCTTTCATGAATGCCAATTATCAAGACATAAAACTTAGCCTCCATTGTGCTCAGAACTATAAATGTAAGTAGGGGTTTGGAGCAAGGATCCTGATCATGGCTCTACTCCAGGTGAATTTCCTGGTTCTGTCATTGTTTGAGATAGGAATGTATTATTCAACCATTTTATTTTGTTACTTTTATTTATAATCTGTTTCTAATATTTTATATAAACAATAGAAATAGATCTTGTGATTTTTGCTGGGGATGTGGACATAAGGTAACTATTTTAAATGAACACAAGAGAGAGACGTGTGTATTTCATGAGAACAAACTTTATTCTAGTAAGAAATATGCACAGATGAGTACAATAAAATAATATACAGTAAATGATTTTCAAGTTGTCTTCTGAGAAATAATAATCTCAATGATAAACAAGATAATAAACATATTAAGTTTAATGGAAATGGAATGCATCAAGTAACAGATCTTGTGATCAAATATAATATATAATTTTACCTATATTCTCAGATATATTAAACTATAATTAAAAGGCAGGAAATTATAGAAAAAAAATTAGATGCCAATAAACAATTAACTAATATAACTACTATTCACCAGTTCTTTACTATTATTACCCTATTGAAATGTGTTTAGTTTGTTTTTACACTTCCCTGCTTATATTAGAAAGACTATTACAAAATTAAAGAATACACCAATTTCCCAATTATCTGTGTGTGGATTATCCATGCATTGTCAAAATATTAGAGTTACTGTAAAATGACAAGTATTGTGAGGCTCTTGACAAGTCCAAACCTTTACTAAAATTTGCATTAAAATATTTTTTAAAGAAGAAAAAAAATATGCTAGACACAACATTTTTGTTCAAAAATGCGACGTGAATTTTGTAAACAAAAAAGGAATGTAAGTCCTAAGATTGATCTCTCCGGTTGAAAGATTGAATTAAACTTAAATTGCGGGAGAGGTCAGAATTGAAGTTGGGATCCCATTACACATAGTAATGAGTGATCGACCACTTGGAGAGAGAGAGAATGAGAAAAAATGACTAATTGGAATGGTGATTGAGGACAGAAATCTTATAAAAACTTCAGATTTCAGGGTCAAATAGCAGTTTTTCTAAGATTTGTGCTACCAGCTTGGATGTGTCAACCTTTTTCTCGAGCAGCATCAGTATTGCCTAAGTTCC